TGGGGGATGAATTACTATGGGGGATTAATTACTATGGGGGATGAATTACTATGGGGGATGAATTACTATATGGGGGATTAATTACTATGGGGGATGAATTACTATATGGGGGATTAATTACTATGCTTACTATGGGGGAATATTACTATACTTACTATGGATGACACATACACATCATTCATCTACTCTTGGTCCGGCCCCCCGGGTCCAATATATGAACCCATTGCGGCCCTCAAGTCAAAAAGTTTGCCCACCCTTGTTCTAGATCCTGAGAGGAACCTTCTGCTGGCTAACCAATGGTAATTGTTCACTTCATGGAAGCAGTGACGTTGAGACCCCGAAGACGTACCCATCAGGGCAGCAAAGAGGAATCAGCAGGTACTGGATAATCACTTGACTACGGCTCAGGGTAAGTGAAAAACAGTATTTGGATTATCTACCCAGCGACAAGAGAGGCGGGGTTACTTTTATTCTAGATGTGGGCTTTAAATATTACAATTTCTTTGCTCTCTTCCTGTCCACCTTTTTATTTTCCAATGGGAAGAGGACACCCCTTTATAATGGTCACAGCCAGTGTGCAGACCCAGGAACTCAAGCACAGAAACTCTCCAACATCTGCCAGGAACTGGAATATAAATTTTAAGTGGACTAGAGCTGAATCATCCATAAGACAACTTAGACAGAAGCCTTGGGCCCTTGGACGTCCAGGGGGCCCAGTGTCAACCTTCATGTTCCTGCAATAAACAAGGGTGGGTAGTGCAACTGATCAGAGATGTGCACCTACCTGTCACTTCACAAGGGAAGATGCACATGTAGGCGATTGGCGTCTCATGGGATGGGCTCTGCTGGAACAGACAGGGCAAATGGTGTGGTTTCTCCTTACTAATATCAAGTAAAAGGGATTGGGGGGGAGGCTGCTAGTCTGCTACCTTACCTAGAGTCCCATTCTGCCTCACAGAAAAATCAAGTATTTAAAACACTTACTTGCAGGGTTTTCCTTCAAATATATGATTTTATTGTTCACTTGCAATGTGAACTTTCTAGTAGAAAATATGACCATTGTGCAGCCACAGTTTCCTCTCCTTCCTGCCAAGTCATAGCCCTCTCCTCATTTGGGAGCATCTAGTTATAGTCTATGCTGGCCTAGCTCCTCTGCCTTTCCCTTTACCTCCCCACATAAACTTAATGTAGCTGGTGGGGAAGATGCTGAGAGGAATGCACTTAAGTATCGGCTCAGAGTCTGTTTGGGCTGCCGTCATCACATCCAAGATGGCAGCACCCAGCAGCAGTCTCAGGTCCTTCAGATATCTATATAAGGGAGGTATTTACAGGTAAATAACTTGAATAAAATATCTTAAATGCAAACATCATATTATGGGAAGATTTTTTGTTGAAATAAATAATCTAGCGACAGTCTCTTTAATTTACTTCTGGAGTGGACTGACTCTTAACTAAACTACAGTGAGCTAAAATACAGGGAGACTCCCCCTTTAATTAAGATAATTACTAATGTTATTGATAACTTCATGCATTCCTTGCCGTTTCCATACTGACTGGGGTTGTCAATCAAATTAGGTGGTTGGAAGGAAACACTTAAATGAATAGGCTCATACACTCACTGTAGCTATTATGAGTGAGACTTGAGACTACCCCTGGTGTCAAAATTCCAGAATTGTGTATATTAACCTCCCTAACAGTCTGATTATGTCAGTATTTCTGTGTTCAAAGCGGTACATTTTTTTGCATGGAAATATGTAGTTTTTTTTATTGTAGGCCTGTAATTTTTAGGAATAACTCACTGAAATTTGTCCGAACAAAAGTCTAGTAAACAACCCGGGTATGATACAATTTGAAACATGAAATAATAAATTATAATATAATAAATATATCATAAAAAATAATAATAAATTGAAATCAATAATATAATCAAACCAAAAACACTGAAATTTGAAATAGAGCGCCAAGTTCACACATCACTGAGCTTAGTCGCAAAATCGTTTTCAGTGTCTGATGACGAATTTCCCCACAAATCATTATCACTTAATTCTGCAAGTGGTTCTAATTTACTATCACTGTTCTCTAGCCGGTCTAAAACCGCTTTTGACATAAAGGGACGCTTTTTTCGATGCCATGGACATTTCTCAGTTTCCAGACAGAAGGAACAGTAAAAATGCAGGCAGGGCACAGGACAAAGCACTCGGGACAAAATGTATGTGAAATGGTTTGATACAGTAATGTTTTACTATGTGATTTTAGTGTATTTAGTGAATGTCACTTTTTAACTTTTTTAAATTTCCCGCCGTTCCGTCCCCGTACGTCCCGACGCTTTCAGGGACCGGAACCCGGAAGATGGATGCAGGCATCAGCCGGAGGAGATGGCCGGGGACACTGCAGGGAAGACATCGCAGGACCGCAGGACAAGGTAAGTGAAACAAGGAATCCCACAGCAACGCTGCAGGGAAATCCCGAGTGCAGCTCGGGGTTACCGCTTTTGGTACTGAAAGTTAACCCCGAGCTACACTCGGGAATACCGCCAGGGAGGATAAACAAAATATTATGGCTTAGTGGGACATTAAGGGCACCCAATTCCACAAACAACCATGAAGATAAAAGTACTTTACATCTTTATTGTGATAACATTTATTAAAGACATAACATCAAATATAGGCTGAACATAAGCTAAAACTCATATTCTCCTGAACACAGACATAGATTAATCATTCAAATTGCATTTCTAAATACCAACACGTTTTGAGTCCACCAGAAAAGCTACTGCTTCTGGGTCTTTCTTTGTTGGATTGTCTTGGGCTGCCATGACCCAGGGCATACAGCCTTGCTTTCGTGTTTAAGAATGCCTGCTGCTGCTGGTCTTAGTTGCACCCCTACCTCTTTCCCCTTTGGGTCGGATCACCCTAGGTCTGCATCACTTGGGTTGCTTTTTAAATTCTGACAGGCGGATGGTCATATATCTTTCACTGTCATTTCTATTTCAATCCCTGCCCCTGAAAAAGAGTGAAACTCAAAACGTGTTGGCAATTGTGAACGAGATTTGGCTGATTGCACTTTGTACATTTATACCGTATTTTCTGGCGTATAAGGCGACTGGGTGTATAAGATGACCCCCTAATTTTCCAGTTAAAACATAGGTTTTGGGCTATACTCGCCATATAAGACTACCCCCCTTCCGAGGCAACACCATTTAAAAACATCAGATTTTTTTAATTGAAATGGTTATGACTTACCGGTACTTAAAATCCTTCAAAATCCTCATGTTCATCCTCTGACATCATAAGTTCATGAATGACATCTTGTGATACATTTGTAAGACAGTCATCATATGAATCAAATTCCAAATCAGATGTGCGGTAATACGGTAGCTTCGGCTACATACAGTATACAGTATATATACAGCCCGCTGGATGTGCAGTAATGTACATACAGTATACCGCGCTGAGCCAAGCTGGCTCAAAACAAATGTCCCTATGACAGATTAATCTGTCAGCCCGCTGGATGTGTGGTATATACAGTATACTGAGTATATACCACTGTGGGATATACAGTATACTGAGCCAAGCTGTTTCAAAACGTACCGGTACGTCCCTACGGTAATCAGACCGCTGGATGTGTGTATGTACAGTAGCTGAGGCTACATACGGTATACGCTGGGCCAATCACAGAGAGCGATGTATTCTACTAATGAATACAAAGCCTGCTCGGATTGGCTGAGGTTGTGACATCATCAGCCCACCTCTCTGACTCAGCCAATCCGAGCAGGCTTTGTATTCATTAGTAGAATATATCACTCGCCGTGATTGGCCCACTGTATACTGTATATAGCCGCAGCTACCGTACATACACGCATCCAGCAGGCTGATTACAGTAGGGACGTACCGGTACGTTTTGAAACCGCTTGGCTCAGCGCAGTATACTGTTTATACCGCACATCCAGCGGGCTGACAGATTAATCTGTCATAGGGACATTTGTTTTGAGCCAGCTTGGCTCAGCACGGTATACTGTATGTACAGTATTACCACACATCCAGCCAGCTTGACCCAAAAAACTCAAGGTTCACATTTTATACCCCGCGTATAAGACGACCCCCAATTTTTGGGGTATATTTGTAAGTATAAAAAGTAGTCTTACACGCCAGAAAATACTGTATATCTGTGTTGAGAAGAATACAAGTTTTTGACTTATGCTTAGCCTATATTTGATTTTATTCATGCATTTTAGTGTTACCACAATAAAGATGTAAAGTACTTTTATCTTAATGATTGTTTATGAAATTGGGTGCCTTAAAGTCCCGCTTACCTGAAAGATTTAATTTTGTACACACACTGTAGCACAAAACACAAAATTACATTTAATTGCTTTCATTCAGCCTTGCAGTAGCCCACAGGCCTTGTTCTTCGGGCCGTTCAAAGCTTGCATACAGCATGCCATAAAATAGCTGTCAAAACGATGTAAGTCATTTTCCAGCGCATTCTCTAATGCTGCCAGGAATCTTTAGCTGTAACCTGTTTACACAGTTTGCCTGTAGTTGAAATTTATTAACTGCATTCAGAGAAGCGTTGCAGTGGGCAGTCAAATGTGGAGCTAGTGAAGGGCAGGCAGATGTTTATGCAGGTGGTGGTCAATGAACATGGCAGGAGCCCGAGTCATTTCAGCTCTTCTCCTGCCGCTCTCTCTTTTGTTTATCTTTGTACAAGCAACATTAGCTCCAAGGGACCAACTTATTCAGAACTACCTAAAATAATGACTCTTTGATTGCAGTCAACCTAAAGTGGCTCAAGGACTTATTAGCATGTACGGACCTATGTAAATCATTATTATTATATTTTATTATGCAAAAGGTACACTTGATTGATTTAATGCACATGTCCTGCAGGGGGTCATTGGAGGCTTGTGCTGGGTAAGTGGACGTACGGATTAAAAGCCTGAGTTCGAGCATTTAAACAGATCTAATTAACGTCATCATTTTTTTTTTTTCTTTCCAAAGTGTAATTTGGAAACAATCAGCCAAAATGTAATCGTCGGCTTGAATCTTCCTGCTAACGGCTCCCCTCTTCAGGATATTCTGGTACATCCCTGTGTGACTTCCATTGACTCTTCCATGCTGATCTCGAGCAGCGTGGCGGCTACTGATGACTCGGCATTCAATGGGCCATACAAATTTCCATTCATTCCACCCTTTGATCGGTTCCAGTTGTGCTACTACACGTCACAGGTAAGCCAAATTGAGTTTATTTTGCTGTATATTGTGCTTTATCTTTAAATGTGTTTTTAGCATTTTTATTCCAAGATACTGGTCTACTGCAACCAATGAAATTCTTCCTGTCATTTTCCAATGTTTGCTAGCAAAATACAGTGCGGGATTATTTGGTTGCTTTAGGCAACAACCCTTTCTTTATTACCTAGTTTCTTAACCTATAGATTGCAACCCAACTTGGGTCATGGACCTGTTTTACATGGGTCGTGGTCTGACATCAGCAACAGCTCCATAAAAACCCATGTGCTCCTAGAGTATAGGGGGGATTGTGATATCAGTATAAGAAGGGGGGAGACAGGTGAACAGTGTCATAAGGGTGCAGGTGGGATCATGTATTTAGTGTAGGTGGGGTGCTGGGGGCAGAGGTGATCAGTGTAATAACGGTGTGGGGGGACACAGGTAATTAGTGTAATGGGGGTGCGGGAATACACAGGTGATCAATGGAATGAGGTGTAGGTGTACAGGTGATCAATGTAAGTGGGGTACACAGGAACATAAGTGATCAATGTAATAGAAGTGTGGGGTTACACAAGTGATCAGGGTAAGACAGGTGCAGGAGGGATACAGGTGATCAGTGTAATAGGGTGCGGGGGCTTTCTATGTTGTTTTTGGCAGAAAGTCAAACTTTACAGTTCATTTTCCAAGCTCCCCTAGAAATACAAAAGGAAGCAGTTTCAATGTAAAAAGCAACACAGACACTACTTTTGTAGGAGACATGTACATGAGGCACACTGTCCTATTTTACCAAATCGGATGTTCAGCAAAAATAAAACTCTTTAATTGTCTGTAGTTAAAGCAGATCTCCAGTCAAATCTGGGGAATCCCTCATGTACATTCAATGGAACAAAAGCAGGGTGTCGGGTAATTGTGAAGTAAAAACAATTACACTTTATTATGCTCACTTACATGGAGAAAACCTGTTTACAGCTCTGGTGGCCAGGGTGGTGTGCAGACACAGCTCTCTCCAGTGTGGATGGACCGAAGACGGCTGCAGGGCGCACAGGCAGAGACCCTCTCATGGATGGAACGCTTCGGCATATCTCCCCTCCTGTCAACCGATAGAAGATAGTGACAAGTGCTGGTGAATGACAAGTGGGGGGGCCCCATCACCAGCACCTGTCACTATCCTCTGTCTGTTGGTGGGGGTGAGAGGAGATACGCCGCCGGTTCCATCCACAAGCATGTCTCTTCCTGTGCCCTGCAGTTGTCATCGGTCTGTCTGCACACCACCCTGGCCACCAGAGCTATACACAGGTTTTCTCCATTTAAGTCAGCATAATAAAGGGCAATTGTTTTTACATCACACTTACCTGGTATCTTGCTTTTGTTCATTTGTTATGGTAGAGTCTGTTTTTAGTAGTTTTAGTAAGTGTTTTTAACATTTCTAAAATAAGGGAGTGGTCGCTGTTCCTTAAGATCACCCATATGGCTTTCAAAGGACGACATGCATACTGCATTATTTGGAGGTCTTGCCTCTTCTTTCACTTCATTCATATGATACTTTCTTTTTTCTAGTGCATCACCACATTTATGTACGGCAAGTCAGACCTTTTTAATTGTAAGGTAGTTGTCAGCATTAGAAAATTTTGATTAGGTTAGAGGAAGCCCAGATGTCAGATAGTAGAATTCACCACAGTTGGTGCTCTCATGGCACTCCATCTAGGCATCTTCCTTATTGCAGTGTGTCCATGAACAAATTGCAGTGGGCTCTGTAGTAAAGGAGTCCTCAGCCAGTCCTAACAAACTTCTCCAGCTTTGCGGCAGTTCATCTTTGGCCTGTTCAAGGTGTTTAGGTGGACAGGGACCTGTTCCTGCTGAGGCAACTTCTTGTTTGTTGGAGGAACAAGAATGTTCTTTCTTGTGGTAAGTCATTTTGCTGACTTTTTCAGAGGTGACCATCAGTCAGTATTCAGAAAAGGCTTGAAGAGAAGAATAATAATGGGATCAGTGGTCGGACCTCCATGAGTCATGTCTGCTCACATGCCCAGCTTGGCTATGCTCCCCACATTTAATAATGTGAATAATGAATACAGAACTGCATTCATTTGTATCTTTTATATCTTGAACAGGGCTCAAAATTTCAAGTCCTGAGCTACTAGCCAGGACTTAAGAGTTACTCGCCACCAGTTGGCCCACCCAACCTCTAATCTACCTGCCCCAAATTCCACCCCAAAACACGCCCTCGTAAATTATGTTATGAAATGGCACTGTTAAATGTTTTATGCACAATGAAGAAAGGGAAGAAAGGAAATGGAAGGGAGGGAGGGGGGAAGGGAGGGAGGATCGATAGGAAGGGAGGAGTGGAAGGAAGGGAGGGAGGGAAAGAAGAAAGGGATGGAGGGGTAGAAGGAAGGAAGGATGGGAGGAGTGGAAGGAAGGAACGGAAGGGTGACTGGAAGGAATGAAGGGAGAGGTGGAAGGAAGGGGTGGAAGAAAGTAGTGGGTGGAAGGCAGGGGTGGGTGTAATGATGAAAGGGAGGGGTGCAAGGAAGGGTCGGAGGAAAGGGAGGGGTGGGTGGAAGGAAGGGAGGGGTTGAATGAAGGGTGGGAGGGTAAGTGGAAGGAAGAGTGGGTGGGAGGAAGGAAGGGTGGGAGGAAGGAAGGGTGGAAGAAAGGAAGGAAGGGAGAGGTTTAAGGAAGGATCGGAGGGAAGGGAGGGGTGGGTGGAAGGAAGGAAGGAAAGAGTTGGTGGAAGGAAGGAAGGGGTGGGTGGGTGATAGGAAGGGAGGGGTGGGTGGGTGGAAGTAAGGAAGGGGTGGTTGGGTGGAAGGAAGGAAGTAGGTCAGACTCACATGCTCGTTCAGAAGCATCAGAACTGTTGGCTGCTGTTTTTAACTTCCCGCCCACAAATCCTCTGAAGCTGCATGGACTGGAATGTGGGCGGGCACAGGGGGAGGCAGAGTAGATCCAGCCTCTCTATCCTTCTCCTCCCCACTTCAATGAAGCAGCTGAAAGCTGCGGGAGGGAGAGGGGGAGAAACAGCTTTCCAGCTTCTTCATTGAAAGCCATACAGGAGATCGCTGCTTGTCACCGCTGCAAAGATCATACCTGATCATTCCGTTTCTTTCCTGCTCCCTAACCCCCCCCCCCCCCACTCCACTGTGTGCTCCTCAGTGCCCAGTTTCCTATTGGTGCAGTGGATAGAAGGAGGAGATCGGTGCTTGTCTTCGCCCCTCCCAGACACCCTTAGTCCACGTGCTGCTCACCCCCACCTTATTTCCACTCTCCCAATGTGAGCGGGCAAGTGGAAATTTCGAAGGCTAGCCTAGAATATGCTTTAGTTTTTTTACTCCCTATACTGTATGCTTAGATAAAAGTTCAGAGGTATTCACATATCCAAACTTTTTGCTTTTTTGGATTTTAGGTGCCAGTGCCTCCAATATTGGGTTTCTATCAGATGACTGAAGAGGGGCACCAGGTACAGATTGCAGTTAAACTGAAGCTTCATGAGAGTATAAGAAATGTATTTGATTACTGCGAAGCTAAGATCCCATTTTTCAACAAGTAAGATATTGCAGTTTTTCCTTTGTATGTATGTCATTTAGAACCTCAGGTATAATGTGTCTTATAGAGCTATGACCTTGTTATGGGGTCCATAGACAGCCACGTGTCTCTGCGAAGCAACAGTCAATGAGACCATTGCCTGTGTACACAAGACCAGCCATGTCGAATTCAGCCAACAAATAGATATAGTGTATCTGTGGTGAAGTATTCATCTCCTTTTTCTCTATGGAAAAGGAAACTGATATCGGCTAGTCAAAAGACATTTTCCAGCATGTTGGAATTCCTGTCATGCAATGGTAGTCCTTCCCACAATCAAAAGCCCTTATTAAAGAGAATCTTTAATGCAGTGGCTCTGCAGTTTACAAATGGAAGAAGAGGGCAAAGTACAATTCAACAATGTTGTATGTGATGTCTCTGCAGCTGATCTTTTCTCCATTGTTGACTTGCCATTACTTCTCTGTGTGGAGGCAGTCATCCTGTTAGAGCAAGGGTGCTCAACCATTTGAAGTGCAAGGGCCACTTAAGTGATTTGGTAACCAATTGCGTGCCACAATGAAATGGTTCAGAATTTCACATTTTTTTATTTTGGATAGCAAGACAAACATTTCCTCCTGCATCCACTGAATGCCAGCAGGTGGGAGAGGAGGTTAAGCCAGATTTCAGCGGTTGCAAGACGAAAATAGAGAGGATTGGTTCCTGTATATGCCACCCACGTCGCCCCTCCTGCCCAACTGTAAAACAGAATGCAACAGGGAGGCAGCACGGGCCCCCTGGAGCATGGGGTGGGGTAACCATTGAAACCCTGATGCTACATCAGTTAAAAACATGTTTCAACTATGGGGTTTTATCTCCCTCCAAACCGCAAATGTAAATGAGCCCTTACTGTCCTGAGCCTCTATTAAGTCTGCTTTCACACGTATGCACTGCAGTTTACCTGCACTGTGAGTACAGCTGGTGCATCTGCAGCTTTCTCGCAGGGTAGAAACGCTTTGCCATAGACTTCTATTAGATCTTGCGGGTGTGGTGCACTTTCTGAAAGCGCACCAAACCCGCAGGATATATTAGAAGTCTATGGCTCAGTGCAGTTAACCCGCAGGTGCACTGTGCTGCACCCGCGGATCAGTGTGAAAGCAGCCTAATAGTTGTTAACCTTTTTATAGGTGATAATGTGTCCATTGCAAAAGTACAGTGTATGTGTTTATTACACTGAGCTTCTTTTCCTCTTCCAGCTTCTGCTGGAATCACTCTCTAGTCTGCTAGAAAGCTTCCAGATGAAGTGCACTTGGTATCACTCTGCCTGGGACAGGAACTGGTACTACAGAAGAAAAATTGGTTTATGCAGCTCCTACTCCCTACGTGGCTGCCAGCGCCAGTTCGATGCACTCTGATGCTCTAAGATGGCAGGTCAGCAAGCCCAGATCACAATCAATGAGTTGTAAACCCTGGGCACGCTCTGCCTTGGTTTGAGGTCAAGGACCACATCAGAGGGCTCCGAGGGCCACAGATTGAGCACCCCTGCGTTAGAAGAACAGAATTTTACTTCTTCATAGCAGAGCTGCCTGACTAATGACTGGTGATCCAAAGACTGGTGGGGGGATATTTAAGAAGCAGTGGTAGAGGTGAAGAAAGCACAGATCCACAGAATACATTAAGCATAAGCAGGAAGATACATGTAGTGCAGGTCCTCAGGTACAGATTCCTCTTCAGGAAGGAGAACAGTTGGCAGAACAGTATTGACACCAAATCTCCTGAGACTAGCACCCAGAGACAACTAAGCCTTTTACGCAACAGCTATGAAGCTGTAGGCACAGTCACGTGCCAGGAAAGGCACGTTTATTTTTCATAGAATTTCCAGAGAAATTTCTATATAAACATAGAAAAGTGATGTCCATAAACTCTGCCTATTTTAACCTAAGACAAACAAGTAAAAAAAAAAACACAAATTAAACATCTGAGTATAGAGCTATGTTTATCCCAAACATGTTTACATTTATTTAGTTGATTAATTCACTACTGTTGCTTGAAGCCTATTTCATGCAACCACTATTCTTTTAGTCAATTACTAGTTTCTAATTTTAGTTTTGATCTTTCCTTCTTCTAGGCAGGTACTGCTTAGGCACAGTTAACATTAGTAGATGCTTACAATAGCTTTTGAAATATTAACTTATTTCAGGTCCTCTTTAATGTACCACTAAAGGTAGCCATTTTTGCAAGCACTGCGCTGACCGGCTGCTTTGTTTGTTTACATCAGACTGGAAATCTTGCACCTAAACAACCAGATAATGGATGTTTGCTATCTATGTCATCTTATGCAAGTCATCATTTTTTAATATTTTAATCACATAAAGTGTTGGGGAATTGTTCACAATAACTGTGGGAAGAAAAGTGCACAGGTGTTGATTTTGTAGTATGCCTTATTTTCTATAGTTTACTGGAAGCTAAAGTTGTTTGGTTACCACGGGTCTGTTTCACTTCCTTCATTTTTTTCAGAATACCCCAAAAAAATATTTGAACATTAAGCCTGGCCATATGCAATTTTCTTTCTTTCAATTATGGGCTAAAGGAAAGAAAATTGGTTGATTCCCCCATGAGCACAGTCATTGTTGATGATGAGGGTAATCCCTCCTGCTGCACTATTGTATTCTGACAGCAGAAGATTTCCCCACTGTTAGAATACAATGATCACAGCTGGTGGCTATAGCCTCCAGTAGTAACCATACAAAAAAAAAACTCAACAGGCTGATTGTACTGAAGTCGCTCAATATTTTGACTTCAGTGCACCAGCCTGCCCATAGATGGATCGAAATTCAGCTGGCCCCTGCTGAAACATGCCAAATTTCAATCCATCTATGGAAAGCTTGACTAACCAGTTGTGGTCACAATAATAATTATAGTAACGGTTGATGCCACTATTGGTATTATTTATCATGCAAAATTGCCTGCCATCAATGTAACTGTGTAAGGAAATGTATTTCCATAGTTCCTTTTTTTCTACTAAATGCTCATTTCCTTTTTGGTGTTTTTAATAATAGAGGCCAGATTAAGCATTTTGAACACAAAGCTAGTCATGGACAACTTGAATTATCAAGGGAAAAAAGTCGTCTGGTGTGGGTGATAGGTAAGTATTGACACAACCCCTGAACAGTTACTATAACCATATATTTGCATGGAACAGCATATGTCCTAGAGGTCTCCACAGTGTTTGATTGTGTTGGGGACATTGTGCAATAGTAGCTGGGAATATACTCAGGACCAGGCATGCCCCTGTCCATTTATATCTGGTGAACCAAATGCAACCAAAAGAGCTCTGAGGAAGAAGGCACGTCCTTCCAAACGCGTCAGCTGTACTGAGTGGCTTCCTCCATGACGGGATTCGCATTGGCATCTTGCCTTTAAAGTCCCCTTGAGGACTTACATGCTTGTTTTTATTCGCTGTTTGTGAGTACCATTCTTTTATTCAATAAATTTTTGGTTACTGAGGTAATGCGCAAGGTTGGTGCGCTTCTCTTTTGTTGTTCCCCTTCACATTTATATCTGGTACCAGTAGACTGCTGGACTGGGGTATATATGCTTTGGGGCTAAGGGTTATGCTTCCTCCAGTATGGACATTAGCTATTTACACTGATGATATTCTCGTTTATTTAACATTAATCTGGATTTCTGATACAAGCAGTGCTAGTGGCTATATCTGGACTATAGATAGTATTCGCATTTAAAGCACTATATATTTAGCAGCAACAGAGGCACTTTAGAAGGATTGGCAATGCATGCAGACCTGAAGTTGCCTGCTGTTGCTTGTGAAATTAGATTGGAGATACATTTAAGATTGCAGGTTTTCATTTGTCAGAATTATGTCCTTAGAGGTTCCTGTTTTCTTCTTAAACTCCTTCCTGCTGTTCAGTGAATGTCAGACAAGTTAACCATTGACCTACATGATGGATGGTTTATATCCAGGGGTACTAAGATCAAGAGCAGTCCCAGGCCCCCCCCCGATGGCAGGGTAGGGAAGCAATAAGTTGTAGTCCGCAGCCACAGACACTTAGCGTAAAGCTGCAGTTGTGGGCCCCAGTTGCCATTTTGGGAGATTCTGTGACTTGCTTTGCTGGAAGCAGATATGCAAACTGCTTCAGCTGCAGGCTTGAATATTAGGTTCCCACAGACCGTGTGCCAGCAGCAGGCTACTTCCCAGCTTTCGATCCCCTGAGAGGCTGAGTCCCAGGCATTTGGCACTCCTTGCCGCCCTTTCCGCAAGCCTGTATATCATGTACACTTTCAGCCTAAAACTAAGCAGAATTAAATATCTTTTCAGCAAAACACGGTGTGATGGCTTCATTATGTTAAATAATATACAGTCAGGTCCATAAATATTGGGACATCAACACAATTCTAACATTTTTGGCTCTATACACCACCACAATGGATTTGAAATGAAACGGACAAGATGTGCTTTAACTGCAGACTGTCAGCTTTAATTTGAGGGTATTTACATCCAAATCAGGTGAACGGTGTAGGAATTACAACAGTTTGCATATGCCTCCCACTTGTTAAGGGACCAAAAGTAATGGGACAATTGGCTTCTCAGCTGTTTCATGGCCAGGTGTGTGTTATTCCCTCATTATCCCAATTACAATGAGCAGATAAAAGGTCCAGAGTTCATTTCAAGTGTGCTATTTGCATTTGGAATCTGTTGCTGTCAACTCTCAAGATGAGATCCAAAGAGCTGTCACTATCAGTGAAGCAAGCCATCATTAGGCTGAAAAAACAAAACAAACCCATCAGAGAGATAGCAAAAACATTAGGCGCGGCCAAAACAACTGTTTGGAACATTCTTAAAAAGAAGGAATGCATCGGTGAGCTCAGCAACACCAAAAGACCCGGAAGACCACGGAAAACAACTTGAAACAACATTTCAAATCCATTGTGGTGGTGTATAGAGCCAAAAATGTTAGAATTGTGTCGATGTCCCAATATTTATGGACCTGACTGTATAACATGGGCAAGTTATTAACTTTAAATGTACATGAAGACACAGCTAATGTCTTTTTCAGGGCAAAAGTTTCCAAAATCGCTAGAAATTTCTCTTACGGGAACTGTGACATTCAGCTCAGAACAGCATCCCAGTGACCCTGTGGACTCAGTCTGCGTTGGAAATACTGCCTATGTTAAAGTAAGTAGGTACTGTTAAAGCATTAAAATATATGTTTCCTACCAATTTAGTGAATACAAGTGGTGCATACACTTCACAGTGTTATAATTGAAATGTTAGTGATAAATCTCTTATCATCACCCATGGATTATATATCCTTCATCAATACACATCCAGAATATTATATCTGTGACAACAAAAAACAAAAATGTGTTTAAAAATTAATGAATACAACACATACTCTGATATCTCAAAATAAAAGTCCCATGACATAAAAAATATATATAATAAATAATATAAAAAAATAGTCCTGTGATAAAAGGTAAAAAAGATATTAAAGTCCAGTGATGAAACAACTTCACGTTATGAAAAACTTTAAGGTATAGATAACCCTGTGCAGTGCCCACCGTGCGCCCCCACTCGGGTGTGCACTCACCAGATATTACCTTTATTATAGCATACTCAAGAGGATATCCACTAGTGTGACCAGGAGGTTCCTCCAAGGACAGCCCACTTAATGATTGATTGCCAGGATAATTCAAAACTCCATTCCGCCATATCATGAAAAGAGAAGAACAAAGAGTCCGCTCCAATAGTATATTACCCAAGATAAATAGATTTATTTACTCCAGGTATTTCACTTACAATGTTAAAAACATAAACAAGCCCAAATAGTATGTCTCTGTGACCAGCAGATACTGCATGATGCTCTCACCACCTCCGGAACTGTCGGACAGAACGCCGTCACGTCACTTCCGGTTACGGATCTGCGTCACTTCTGGTCCGCCGCACCGTCACGTTCTGAGGTGTTTTGTCATATCCTGACTTACTCATAGGGGTCAGTTAAAGCATTGTCCTGTGTTAAATATACAGATACATTTTAGCTACCTGTCCAGTAAAGTTTTTTTTTTTTCTTTAGTTTTTCTTTTTACATTTCTTTTGTTCAAAATTCTCATTAATCACTGTCCCAGTGGAGCTTACAAACAAATATTCCTTCCACAGTCATAAGAGTTAGAGTAGGGAAGAATGGCACTTCGGTCCAGGAATTAACCCCTTTACTCCCAATCTCTTCGACTGACATTGACATGGGCTTCAATAGTCACAGAGAAGCTGTCTCATTGTCATTGTCTGTGCTGGCATGGTCCTCCCCCCATCAGATATCAGTTGCCCACAAGTGCATTCTAACTTGTAAAGTGATAGGCAGTTACCCAGCTTTGACCAGTTGTGCTACTCTCATGGTTTGCTGCAGGAGCATAAGGGTTGTAGCTGGGCTTCTGGATATCCACAGGGTCCTAAGCTTCTGCTTAGCATGTCTTATGGATAATGCATCTCTGGCAGAACTCATAGGCCTGCAATCTGCTTGAGGGAAGAAATTGGATCATCTTGCAGAAATGTTATTATAAATAACAAAACAATGATGGCATTGGCCTGCAGTTTTCACCATTCTCTTCTTTTTGCCATTTTATTATTTTAGCTTTTCTTTAGAATCCCTGACTACAGCCTCACAGGATGTTACACAGACCAGCATTCTGTCCAGGTCTTTTCATCTGCAAAGCCAAAAATTATAACATGTAAGAGACTTATGGCTTATTATATTGCGCTCTGTGTTTCTATTCTTGATCTTAATGTGAATTGTTCAGTAAAACTGCATACTTTACAGTAAAAAAGCAAATAATATGAATTCAACTTACTTGCTATTAACTGAAATTTGTTCCTGAGGCCACTCTGCCTGCTAAAGTGACCCCATCAGGGGATCAACAAAATGACACAATCACTACCCTTAAAAGGAAGCAGCTTTATGCATACCTGTCTGTTGGTCCACTTACTAAACTTTACTCTGTAGCAGAGCCTCCTGCACTGATCCAGCTCCACACATCTGGGTGTATAGAGTAGTGTTTCCCAGTTGTGTACTGTAGCGGTCAGCAAGAGTGCAATGATTTACTTTCTGCTGGTCAGCGGGGAAACCACAGCAGCCAGCAGGGGAACCTGTTATTTGACCTGTTAATAGGCCAACCAGTGGGTATGTATAATGCTGCTTTCTTTTCAGGGTAATGGCTGTGTTATTTTGTTGACCCCCTCACAGAGTCACTTTAATGTAGAAGTAGATGTACAATTTTTGTTTTTTTACTATATATACAATATAGTTTACAAATAAACAGTTAATACTTATAGAAGATCCCTATACGATTCTGGGTTAGCTAAACTGAATGTACAGCAGTACTGGCCTGCCTTTTGCCTTGCTCTGTCTAACTGAAACCTGAGAGGGAGCCATTCAATAAGGTTTTGGGTGTGAAAGTTCCAGCAAATATACAGTTGTGTTCAAAATAATAGCAGTCAGACATCACTAACCTGATCAATCACTGTTTTTGGTAGAAATGATATTTCTACATGGCAAATAATTTACTAGCAGGTGTAGTAGAGTAATAGAAATCCAACAGACTCAACAGTCATGACATGCATGCTGCTGATTCTGTGTAATTGAATCACTAATTGAAAGGGGCATGTTCAAAATAATAGCAGTGTTGAGTTCTATTAGTGAGATCATTCATCCTTTGAAAAACAGGTGGCAATTATTGCCCTTATTTAAGGAAGGAAGGCAGCAAATGTTGTACATGCTGGTTACAGTGCATTTCTCTCTGAAATTCTGAGGAAAATGGGTCGTTCCAGACATTGTTCAGAAGAACAGCGTACCTTGATTAAAAAGTTGATTGGAGAGCAGAAAACATAAAGAAATGCAGAAAATGATAGGCTGCTCAGCTAAAATGATCGCAAATGCTTTAAAACGGCAACCAAAACAACCGAACCGGATATCGTATGTACTCTCCAGCGCCTCAGGATATGCACAGCCAAAAGGGAAGCCAAGGGTATCAGGACAGCGAAAACCAAAGGAAATGCTTCAGGGGTGCAGCCCTCCTCAGACGGGAAAATCAGCCACTGGATAAAGAGAAAACAGGTGGCGCACACACCTAGTGCATTATCCAAGGTTTATTGTAAAGAGTAAAAAATAATAAAAACATACTCACAAACGAAGCATGTATCTAAAAAGCATAGAAAAATGATGATGGCCACAACAGCAGGCACGGTGTCCTCACTGTCAGTGCGGTCAAATTGCTGACGCGTATCGGGGACGAATCCCTTTCCTCAGAGCTAATGACCAGCCTCTGCTCACCAGCAAGGCTCCTACTTTTCATCCGTTACACATCTGCATCAGAAGCTGGTCATTAGCTGTGAGGAAAGGGATTCGTCCCCGAAGCGCGTCAGCCATTTGACAGTGAGGACACCTTGCCTGCCGTTGTGGCCATCGTCATTTTTCTATGCTTTTTAGATACATGCTTCGTTTGTGAGTATGTTTTTATTATTTTTTACTCTTTACAATAAACCTTGGATAATGCACTAGGTGTGTGCGCCACCTGTTTTCTCTTTATCCAGTGGTAACCAAAACAAGACGTGGAAGAAAGCGAAAAAACTACCATTCGAATGGATAGAAGAATAGCCAAAATGGCAAGGACTCAGCCAACAATCAGCTCCAGGAAGATCAAAGAAGATCTAAAGTTACCTGTGAGTACTGTTACAATTAGAAGACACCTATGTGAAGCCAAGCTATCTGCAAGAAGCCCCCGCAAAGTCCCACTGTTGAAAAAAAGATGTGCTGAAGAGGTTACAATTTGCCAAAGAGCACATTGACTGGCCTAAAGAGAAATGGCGCAACATTTTGTAGACTGATGAAAGTAAGATTGTTCTTTTTGGGTCTAGTGGCCGGAGACAGTTTGTGTCAGACGACCCCCAAACACTGAATTCAAGCCACAGTACATTGTGAAGACAGTGAAGCATGGTTGTGCAAGCATCATGATATGGGGATGTTTCTCATACTACGGTGTTGGGCCTATTTATCGCATACCAGGGATCATGGATCAGTTTGAATACATCAAAATACTTGAAGAGGTCATGCTGCCTTATACTGAAGAGGAAATGCCCTTGAAATGGGTGTTCCAACAAGACAACGACCCCAAACACACCAGTAAATGTGCAACATCTTGGTTCCAGACCAACAAGATTGACATGGAGTGGCCAGCCCAATCCCCGGATCTTAATCCAATAGAAAACTTGTGGGATGACATCAAAAATGCAGTTTCTGAGGCAAAACCAAGAAATAGAGAAGAACTGTGGAATGTAGTCCAATCATCCTGGGCTGGAATACCTGTTCACAGGTGCCAGAAGTTGGTTGACTCCATGCAACACAGATGTACAGCAGTTCTCAGAAACAGTGCTTATACAATGAAATATTAATTAAGTGATTCAGAGGAAAGCAAAATCTTCAAACATTTTTCAGTTTATATAGTGAATGTTTGAGTTTATAAAGAAGAATACAAACACTGCTATTTTTTTTGAACAGTCTAATATTCACTTTTCTTCAATTTTTTTAGAGGAACAACACAAATTTGATATATTTTTCTTCATGTTTTGATGTGGAATAGAATGTGTAGTGTTCCCAATGCATTTGTGTGTATGGAAATAAAAGCTATTAGAAGGATTTTGAGCTTTATTCACTTTTTTCAACACACTGCTATTATTTTGAACACAACTGTATATACTGTGTATGTGTGTGTGTGTGTGTATATATATATATATACACACACACACACTATATTGTCAAAAGTATTGGGACGCCTGCCTTTAGACACACATGAACTTTGATGGCATCCCAGTCTTAGTCCGTAGGGTTCAAAATTGAGTTGGCCCACCCTTTGCAGCTATAACAGCTTCAACTCTTCTGGTAAGGCTGTCCACAAGGTTTAGGAGTGTACCTATGAGTATGTTTGACCATTCTTCCAGAAGTGCATTTGTGAGGTCAGGCACTGATGTCGGACAAGAAGACCTTGCTTTCAGTCTCCGCTTTAATTCATCCCAAAGGTGTTCTATTGGGTTGAGGTCAGGACTCTGTGCAGACCAGTCAAGTTCCTCCACTCCAAACTCACTCATCCATGTCTTTATGGACCTGCTCAGAATAAATGAGTACACCCCAACAGATTTGTCAGGAAACCTTTACTTTCCTTTAAGAATCAACATTTTCTATGGGTCACTATACTACAAAATACTCCCACTAATGCGGTGTCAAGGTCCTACCTTTTCCCAGAGGTTATGTTACTCCATGTGCTAGCATCCATCTTGGATTTCTGCTGAGCATGATGGGAATCTTTTATGCCTTCAGGTCTCTGAGGTCCATCCCCCAGAGGGGTGTGGCTGAGTACATATAAGCCTGGGATCTGCACATGCTCTTTGCACTTGTGTCTTGTGTCTTGGTCTTGCTACAGCTCTGTGTATACGCTCGTGACTCTTCTGGTATTCTGACTCGGCTTGTGACTAAGACCATTCTCTGCGTTTCCCTTTGATCTGACCTTCTGTTGCTGAACCCGGCCCGTGACCTGTGATTCTCTGTCTACTGTTCTGTACTGTTTTGTCCCGTTGTTATTGACCCGGCTTGTCTGACTACGCTATTGTCATTCTCACCAACTACACGCCATTGGCGGCGGCCATTACCGCAGCTGGGGTGTCTCGGGGGCCGCGACCTGGTCCCTGGTTGCGTCAAGTCCATCCCCACCATCAGGGGCCCTGGTGAAGGGCAGCCTGGGACTTAGACTCCGCGCCCTGAGGGACTTCAGTCTGTTGGTGGTGGTTGTCGTCAGCCAGTGCGTTACCCTGCCACTAGGCCTACCTGTCCGTTCCACAGCCCTGCCCTGACATGCGGGCCATTGATTGCAAACAAGATTTGTTTATTTGCACACACAAAAAAGTATTTTTCCTAATAATTTAATTCAAGACTATGTTGCAAAAATAAATACACCCCAATAAACATCTGAGGAGCAAAGCTAAATTTTAGACAACAAAATCCTAATTAACAAGAATTCAGCTACAGGTGAGTCTATTCATTTAGCAGGTGTTCAGCAGACAGTTGATTATAAAAGGGCAATATTTAGCAAAGAAAACCCCTTCTCATTTCATGCTGTCAGTAATGGCACCACATGGAAGAGAAATGTCACAAGGTCTGAGAAAGAAAATAATTTCTTTACACAAGAAAGGTGAATGCTACAAGAAGATCAGCGACATTTTACTTATCAGTCAGAATACTTTAGCAAAAGCTATACAAAAATTTACCAAAGATGGAACTGCAACCATTTCAGAGAGACATCCAGGCTGTCCATGGAAGTTAACCCCTCGACAGGAGCATCTTCTGATGAGAAGGGTTGAAGAAAATCCCCATGCAAGTTCACTGCAGTTAGCGAAAGAAGTAGAAAGCCAAACTGGGGTGATTGTTTCCTGTGACACAATACGGCGTACACTGCAGAGGAATGGCATGCATGAGTGTCATCCATGAAGGAAGCCTCTCCTAAAGCCCATGCACAAAAAAGCCCACCTAGATTTTGTCAGGGCCCATGCTGAAAAAGAAGAAGACTACGGGGACTCTGTGCTCTGGAGTGATGAGACCAAGATAAATGTTTTTGTAACTGATGGCTTCAAAACTGTATGGCATTACCAAGGTGAGGAGTACAAAGAAAAATGTATGATGCCTACAGTGAAATGTGGTGGCAGTGTCCTTCTGTGGGGCTGCATGAGTGCTGCTGGTGTCAGGGAGCTGTATTTCATTGATGGTATCATGAATTCACA